CACCGTGGATTCTATTTTAATGATGTGCAGCATTCCGGCAACATACATCGGCCATCAGAATCGCATGTGACACCTGATTCACATGAACCCCGCTCACGTCGACCAGACTTCAGCCGACGCCGATCTCCTTCACCCCGTCTTCGGTCTCCTTCCCCCATGCTTCGCCGTTCCAACCACGCCCAGGAGGAAAACTAACAGTCGCAGTTCCTGAGGCAAGAGCTGCGCCACCGACGAAATTTCCAAGGCCTCATCTATCGCCCCCGAACGAGATTGCCGTGTTTGTGGACGGTTTCGCCACAACTGCTCTTGTCGACACAGGTGCCGCTATTTGTATAATCAGTGAAGTGTTATGCCACAAACTGAACAAAGTGACGACTCCACTGGTTGAAATTTCTTTACGCACGGCGAGTTCGCAACACGTCCAACCTTCTGCCACATGCACTGCTCGTGTTGTGATTCAAGGAGTGCTTTACATTGTTGAATTTGTCGTCCTTCCGCATGCGTCTCATGAAATCATCCTGGGATGGAACTTTCTTTCCGCTAATCATGCGGTTGTCGACTGCGCTCGTGCTCAACTCGTTTTGTTTCCATTCAGCACGACATTCATAGATCTCCCTCGCTCACCCAAAAAGGTGATCGTCGCCGCTGACGTCGTCATTTCTGCTTTTTCTGTCACCGCGGTATCTCTTTTGTGCAACTCCGTTTCAGATTCAACTGCCCTATTTATGCCGTCAGAAGAATGCGCTCGTCGCCGGAACCTTGTCGTCCCGTTTGCCGTCATAACACTTGCCGATGGCTCCAGTGCCGTGTACGTGTGCAATCCGTTCCCTTGTCCCGCTACCTTATTGCATGGCGAATGCATTGGGAGTCTTGACACTTATGATGACATCTTTCCTTTCGGTGCCCGTTCTGATACGACACCGATGTCCGTGGATGCTGTCACAGCTGGCACCGCGCCCTCACTACCTGACGAAGACGTTCTGTTGCGCAGCGTAGACACCGGCCTTACGCAAGACCAGCGCAATCAGCTCATTCAACTACTTGACCGTTTCCGCGCCTCCTTCGACCACGGACAACCTCCCTTGGGACGCACGTCAGTTGTCGCTCACCATATCGACACCGGTCATCATACTCCACTTCGTCAGCGCCCCTACCGCGTCTCGCAGGCCGAGCGTGACGTCATCACTCAACACGTCGACGAGATGCTGCAACGTGGTGTTATTCAGCACTCACACAGTCCTTGGCCTTCGCCAGTGTAATCGTGCGAAAAAAGAATGGCTCCATCAGGTTTTGCGTGGATTATCGTCGACTAAACAACATCACACGCAAGGATCTTTATCCCCTGCCACGCATTGATGACGCCTTGGATTGCCTTCAAGGTGCGGAGTTTTTCTCTTCACTGGATCTGCGCTCTGGATATTGGCAAGTACCAATGGCTGAACCAGACCGTCCAAAAACGGCGTTTGTGACCCCTGACGGCTTATATGAATTTAATGTAATGCCCTTCGGTCTTTGCAATGCGCCTGCGACTTTTGAAAGAATGATGGACAGTGTCCTCAGGGGACTTAAACGGCACATCTGTCTTTGCTATTTAGACGACATAGTTGTATTCTCGGCGAATTTCGAAACTCATCTTTCCCGTCTGGAACAAGTTCTCCAGTGCCTTACGGCAGCCGGGTTGCAACTTAACTTCAAGAAATGTCGTTTTGGCGCCCGCAAACTCACAATTCTCGGCCACGTCGTTTCAAAAGAAGGAATATCGCCAGATCCTGCCAAACTGCGTGCCGTTGCCGAGTACCCCAAGCCTACTTCCCTAAAGGAGCTTCGTAGTTTCATAGGCTTGTGTTCCTAATTTCGGCGTTTCATTCGCAACTTTGCCTCTATAATTGCCCCTCTGACTCAGCTTCTCTCTCGTAGCGTGGACCTCTCAGGCTGGAATTCCCACTGCGATGAGGCATTCACGGCGCTACGCCGGCTACTCATCTCTCCGCCAGTTCTCCGCCACTTCGATCCCAATGCACCCACTGAAATTCACAGGGATGCAAGCGGTGTCGGCCTCGGTGCCATTCTCGCTCAACGCAAGGATGGCTGCGACGAGTACGTTGTCGCCTATGCCAGCCGTACACTAACGAAGGCAGAGTCCAACTATTCCGTCACGGAAAAGGAGTGCTTGGCTATCATTTGGGCTATAGGAAAATTTTGCACTTACCTTTACGGACGCCAGTTTGATGTTGTCACAGATCATCATGCCTTATGCTGGTTAGCGTCCATGAAAGATCCTACTGGCCGCCTCGCTCGTTGGGCTTTACGGCTTCAGGAATACGATATCCGTGTTGTTTATCGCTCAGGACGCAGACATTCAGACGCCGATGCACTATCCCGTTCTCCACTGCCTCCTGACCTTGCCTGCTTATCAACTGCCATTTGCGATTCGTCATTGTTGAGCATCACTGAGATGCCATCCGAACAGCGCAAGGATCCCTGGATCAATTCTTTGCTCGACGTCCTCTCTCACAGTTCGTCAGAAACGACTTCACGCTCCCTCTCTCGTCAAGCAAGACACTTTGCTGTCCGTGAAGGCTTGTTGTATCGCCACAATTACGTGACGGATGGCCGTAGGTGGCTCCTTGTCATCCCTCGTCATTTGCATTCGGACATCTGCGCTGCCTTTCACGATGACCCCCAGTGTGGCCACGCCGGAGTATTTAAGACTTACTCTCGCCTTCGTCTAAGATACTACTGGTGCGGCATGTATCGGCACGTTCGCCAGTACGTTCGGTCATGCACCACGTGTCAACGACGCAAGACGCCTTCTCACAGCACTGCTGGCCATTTGCAACCCTTAACCTGCCCAGCGAGACCATTCGACCGCGTCGGAATTGATATTTATGGTCCTCTACCCAACTCTCTTCGAGGCAACCGGTGGATTATCGTCGCCGTGGATCATTTAACACGCTACACTGAAACATCTGCGCTGCCTGCTACCACTGCGAAAGACGTTGCGTCCTTTCTTCTTCACCATCTCATTTTGTGACACGGTGCACCCCGTGAATTACTCAGTGACCGTGGACGCGTGTTTCTCTCGAACAACGTCGACGAGCTACTCAAGGCATGTCGCACTGTCCATAGGAAATCCTCGGCATACCATCCCCAAACCAACGGCATGACAGAACGATTTAACCGTACCCTTTGAGATATGCTTGCCATGTACGCCTCTGACGACCACACTAATTGGGACCAAGTGCTCCCTTTTGTCACGTACGCGTGCAACTCTGCGCCACAAACAACCACTGGCTTTTCTCCTTTCTTCCTTCTGTACGGACGTGAGCCATCATGCTCCATGGACACCATTCTCCCTTACAGGCCTGATGTTTCCGAAGCGACGCCTGTTTCCGAAGCAGCTGCTTATGCCGAAGAATGCCGTCAACTCGCTCGCTCATTTACCGCACAAGACCAATGGCGCCAGAAAACTGACCACGATTCCTCTGCGTCTACTGTACACTATAACCCAGGAATGCTGGTTTGGCTCTGGGTTCCGTCTACCCCTCCCGGTCTTTCCCCGAAGCTTTCGTCGAAATACCATGGTCCCTACCGTGTGGTGCGGCAAACATCTCCTGTCAACTATGAAGTTGAGCCCATTGATCCACCCTCGGACAAACGCTGCCGTGGGCGTGAAACAGTACACGTATCACGCCTCAAACCGTGCTATGACCCCCTTGTCGTGTCCTTTCCCTAGGTCGCCTAGGTTGGCTCTTTTCTGCGCGGGGAGTAATTGTACCGAAGCATAGTGGCGCCAGCTCTGTGCCAGCGTGAAAGAAGACTTTGACGTCCGTGTGTGGCTCGTGCTTGCCGGGTTCCTGCCTGTACCAGCTTGTTGCGGCTAACGTTTCTGGAATAATAACCTGTGTTTTCACGCAACCTTGCTTGTTGCAATATATATATATATATATATATATATATATATATATATATATATATATATATATATATATATATATATATATATATATATATATATATATATATACGAGTGAAAGCACGAAAGCGCACGCTCTTACTCGTGTAGCTAACAAAACTACACTACGCTATACTGGCACACTTCCACAACCACCGAATCAACCGACTCAGCAGCAAACACGTCTAAATTATCCAATTCGCCAAATTCGCGAGCCTCGCATGAAGGAGCTTTTTTTCTGCAATAAGAAGTCTCGGAGGTCATACACTACCTATGTGTGATTTAAGCATTTATAGATGCCTCAGAAAATAGCCACAAAAAATGTGCCACACACACACACACACACACACACAACATTGTTTTTTTAGGCGTGTGTATGTTCTTCGTGACATTTGTTCAGGTGCGGCGGTACTTATTTTTTTTACGCTCTCTTCATAGAACCCACTTGCATCTTTTTGTTTCAGGTTATACGTGCTTCATATCTAGCTCTACTGCTCAGACAGGTACTTGCATTCTACAACCGTGATATTGAAAGTGCAATGCCGAACACAGCGCACTTTCATTGAACTGCGTACCAGTCGATGTCGTGGAAGTGAGAGTTTATAGGGAGGAAATAAAAATATATTACTTCGCTTCGAGCGCTCCTTTTCTAAATCAAACCTTGATGCTTGACGTGTAGCGTGCAAGGCTGCGTGGGGAAAAAAAAGTTGCACCAGTAGTGTTAGGCTGAAGTGCTAAGTGGAGATGGGGCCGACCTAAATTATTAAACTGCTCAGCACAAAAAGTGAACACAGTACACATAGAAATCACGAGGACTAGCCAGACTTCTAGGTGAATTTTATTACAAGTGAATTCTATTCCCATAAACCTACAGGAAGGAAAGCACCATATGTCCATGCAGATATCAACAAAATAAAAAAGGAAGAAAGAAAAGCAATAATCAAGTAACTAGCCAGCAACACACGACAACACCACATGGCCAACAATCTATCCAGGACAGTTCTTTTTCCGATAATCATCGGAGGTCCTTAAAAATGGGACGCCATTAAACGACCGTGTGCCCGACCTCGACGCTGGCTTTCGTGAAGGTGGGGGAGTGGGGAGTTGTTGCGGAGAGCGTCTGCTGCACTCGGTGGCGAGACCGACTGAGCGGGTGAGTGAAGCGGTACACGCGGCAGACCTGTCTTGCCCGGCGCCTTTTCCCGGCGCAGGAAGCTTCGATGGCGACGTCGACATCGGCGGAGCGCAGAACTTTGGAGCTTTGCTCCTAAAAGAGAATGCAACACGTCCCCAAACAAATGGCCACGAAAAGACGGCGGCTAGACTGTTGTGACTGGCGCCCGAGCTGACGAGAGAGCGGCGCTCTTTTGATCTTCAAAGCAGTAGCCGACCGGCCGCTGCCTATGACTGCCAGGCATTGTCCCTCCTAGCCGGAGGGTGAGACGTCATGTCGCCACTGCGCTGTAAGCCGATTAAGACGGGACAAGAAATACAGCATCCTCCTTGGAAGAGACCGCGGTAACCGCCGCAAATCGCCCCGCTAATTAAGCGAGCAGTTCGGCGGACCCTTTGAAGTATGCTGTCATGAGCTTGGGACCCCTTGACCAGCGGCACACACACGACGAGGAAGAGCCCCGCTGGCGCAATCTTGGACAGAAGATCACGCCTCAATATTGGACGTTCACGTGGGCCGTGCATGCTCGTGCCCCCTCACCAGTTGTGTGTGATTTGTGATTGGACAGTAACATATGCACATGTTCCCTGATCTAGTGAGCCACCCGGCTCATTCGAGGGAGCGCCATGTAGAGGAACACAAGATTGGAATGCTCGCCTTGGAAGAAAGAGCTCGTCATGTACGAGAGCTCACCTTGTATATAATGTAAACAAACCCTCATCAAGTCTCTCTTCCTCCTGCCTCGACAACTTCCTCCTGGACCTCCAGTGCCTGCAAACCCCGGTCGCAACAAGACGGAGACCCAGAGTGCGTACTACTGGTTATTATAGAAAACGGGAAAGGCAACGGTAGTGTGAGAAGACCTCAAAGCGATGAACGGCTTACGCCCCCCACGTTCACGTGATCGTGTCGCGTCTCTTCTTGGTTAACGTCGAGCCTCTGTGCGCTGAGTCAACGTAAAAACCACATAGCATCGCCTAGCTAAAGCCTAGCAACGACTCAGAAGCAACCTCGAAAACAACCTCCACCACTTTGCTGATGCCTATGGAAACTAACCAAGAAGCAACCTGATTAGTTTTCAGAATCATCCAGTGTCACTGTTTCAAGACTGCTGCGTTTCTGTACAAGCTTCAGCATTTTTTTTGCGGCACGTGAAAACCGCGATGGTGCTGCGGCAATTATCGCTGTGTTTTAGCGTCATGTGAAACAGCCTTAACGCGGCCATCGTTCTGTAATTGTAAGATGGAGTTCTTCAAAACTGCCCTGCAAAGCGAACTGAACACTCGACGTGCTGACGTTTATGACGTTTACACAGTTCTTTATTGCTCGATTGTTTTAACGGCGGCCTACAGCACAGTTCCGAGACTGACGTGTTCGCGTGTGCTCATCAAATCTTCACCTATCAATTGAAATATTTCAATGTCATAGTTAACTTTAATGCGTCATGTGCAAGCACCTAGCATGCTCATTTCGAGGCCGCGATACACATATTTTATAATTGCCATTAGCGGCCGGACTCACTTCTATCTAAACCATTTCGGATCAGGATCATGTACGGACAGTGAATTTAGTGAAACATGTTTGGGCGTAAGTGACAGAACGCGCGCAGTTCCACGTAGAAAGTCTGCTTCTGCTCGTGTATGGCGATAGAGAGATTGCAAAAAGATGGGTATCCGCGCAAGGTCTGTTCTGCTCTTTATATTCCTGTGGACGTGCACTGACGTATTGGTGATTGAAGATAAGGGTAAGATCCTTCCTTCGTCTGCGATTCTAACATTCTTAGTCAAATACTCGTACATGGAAAACATATGGTGGTATGCAGTGAAAAGCGTTTAAAACTCGCGACGTACTTTGCGAGCTGGGATTTGAAACCTAAGCCTCCTGAGCATGCAGAGTAGCGAACCTTCGACCTGCGAACAACTTGCAGCTGTAAACTTTCCAAGCGTGTACGTTGTGGAACCACTCACTGACAAAGATTAAGGGGAGTCGGACCCTGAATCCTTCAATGTAAAATGCCCATCCCTCGACCTCCGAGCTTTCAAAGTCTGTAGGTTATAGCACCGTAAACTTCAGAATCGCACGCACGTGCGTGTGTGTTGTGTGGGGCGGGAGGAAGAGAGATAGATAAATCGAACTGTGACCCTTCCAACCATATAAGGTATCCAATCCTCGACTACAGAAGCGTGAAAGGACTCGAACAGGAACTTTTCAAGCATGTAAAGCGGGATTTACACGAGGGAGAAATCCACAGAGAAGAGGCGAGGATGGCGCATCACGTGACAACGACGTCACGGGTTAGTGTGTTGACGCGACCTCTTCACGGACTTCCCGGGGGAGGCGGGGATCGTTTCTTCCGAACAGTCAAACGATCCCCTTGCAGCCGGGTATGTAGCAGAATTTCGGGTGGGTCTCTGGCCCACATTGTAGCGCTCTCTCCTGCAGTATAGTGTACTATGTTATGCACAGTAAAAGCTTTTACTCCCAAAAGGGTGTAAACGGGTGCGTTTATACGGTAAAGCACCCTTTGCAGCACCCTTTAACACACAAGTGGTCCATTTTTAAAAAGCACCCCTTTATTTGGGTGCTTGCCTCGATAGCACACTAAATTTGGCTCTAGGGTGCTTTTGTGCCTGAGAAAGGTGTAGGTGACGATTGAGCAGATAGAATATAGAGCAAAAGAAGAACACAGAATTATAATATTTTTGGTTTTACGCCCCAAAAACCACGATAAGATTATGAGGGTCGTCCTAGTGGAGAGCTTCAGAGATTTTGACCATTTGGCGCTCTTTAACAGAAACTGATATCGCACAGTGCACAGGCTTCAACCGTTTCGCCTCCGTCTTAACGCGACTGCCACTGCCGGCATCGAACACGCGACCTTCGGATTGGCGGCCGAGCAGCGAAGCTACTGTACGAATATGTGGACCTTACGTTAAATGCCAGCCTAATTGACTTAGAATGGGTGAACATACTCTCCGAACACAGCAGAACACCAGCAGAAGCAAATCACGTTTCATCTATAATGGCAATTAACTGCAATCTATGCTACGAAAGCTTTCCTTGGCGTTGGTTATAAGCTACATGTTTGCTATGAATTATATACACACACATATTCGCCCGAATAGGTGTGTGTGTGCGTGAGCCTGCGCATGTGTTCGTTGTAAGCGCGATTGTGTGTACAACCGTGCATTTGTGCGTGTGCGTGTATGTGTGAGTTCGTGCTTGTGTTAAGCGTGCCTCTGCACATGTGTGCGCCCGTGCATGTGTGCGTTTACAGTCGCATGTGTGTGCGGCCGTATGTGTGTATACGTGTATGTTTGTGTGCCTGTGCATGGTCACGCGTGTGTATCAGCCCGTGCGCCCTCGAATTTTGCGTGTGTGTTTGTGCGGGGGGGGGGGGAGTGAGAAAAGCATTGCTTCTTAGTGTTTAACGTCCCATACCTGCTCAGACTAGGAGTCTATATGAGAGGTGGCCTTAATGAATAGCGATGGTCAAAGCACCGTACGCGGACTATTCGTTACATAGCAAACAGCTGTACATTCTCGTACCTCATCATTGCTTATGAACTTGCTGTGGCAGCTGATTAGGTACGATGAGGCTCTGCTACGCTCGAAAACGTGGGTTATGACCAATTCACAACGAAAGCTGTAACTGCGCTTATGCACAACCATCGTTTATATTAACAAGATTTAACAAGAACGTAACTTGCCTTCGCTACAGGTGCTTAGCTAGCTCAGTTGGGCAATCATATGGAATTGTGTGCTGATCATGTGGTCAGCAAGAAGTTTGGTAACAACCTCGGCACGTTTCGTGGTGCGTGACAAGCCATCTAAACATCCGCGAATGTGGATTAATTTGTTCCAGCTTCGACTAGGCATTCAGTGTTTGTGGCACTATATACGGAATTGCCAGACACGGACCATGCGAAAAGAAATTCCTCTGGAAAGAGGTGTAGCGATGCTCTCTCGCTAATCCCACCAAGGACGAAATAATTATTGTTTCTGGCCGTTCCAGGGAGCACTTTGTTTTCCGGAAGTTTTGCTTCACTATTGTTCGCCAACTGCAGTCAGGATTCCGTAAAAATACTCAAAGAACGCGAGGCTGTAGAATAATTTGCACCGCTGTGCGGCTGGGTGGAAGGAGAGTTGCCATTTACAAGGAGTCATTCTTGAAGCGCAATTCGATTGCCTTCCGTGTCGAAGCCGCCGCCCGCCGTATGCGTCATAGCGTTTGCCTTTCGGCGCCCTCTTGGCGGGTTTCCCGCTCACCCAGGCAGGGTCGCCCCGGCAACGGCCGTGTAGACAGGGAAAGAGTTGCGTCGACAGCTGCGGCAGAGCCGCCAGTGCCTCCTCCTTCTCTCTCTGTCTCATCCGGCTTTCAAATACGTTGCGTTGATTCGGGTTCTTGGTCACTGTGCGAGTTCCAGCGAACAGGCGCATCGCCAATGGCTGGTCACGCATGACTCCGTGTTCGAAGTGACGCTCAGTATTAAGGAATATTCGTGGAGCAGCGGACACAGACAACGTTGGCAAGTTAACGGTGAGTGTACTGTTTTTGTAGGTAGTAATCACACAGCGCTAGCTGCAGGAGGCGTGTGTCGTCACGCATGAGCACTGTTCTTGTAATCCGTATAAAAGCAGCTGTAGCACCTTAAAAAAATCAGTTGACAGTCGGTGCTCCTTCCTGTCCTTTTTGTCTCTTCCTGAAGTTGTCGCGTTGTGACTAGAACACAACAACAATGAACCAACTCGCCCAAATTAAACTCTTGTTACTTAACATGTAGGCCGAGTTTCGTATAGAAAGAAGGAGCGGTGCTTTTACAATAAAATTTTTCACACACATTTAGACGGCATTTCAGGAAGTTCAGAAGGCAGCCACCTGACCATATATTAGTTCTCGTAAATATTCTAGAAGTTCACTATTTTCAATGCAGCACAAGTTTTTCGAATACATTTGAGATGGTCGCCAAAATGCACGCGACATTTGGCATGAAATGACTCAGCTGTGTCATTAGCCATAATTATGCATTGTCTATTGTTTTTTATGTGTCTTGACTCACGTTCGAGTTCGTTTTAAGCTTATTCTGTTTCTG